GGATCTATAGGTCCAAAAGCTTCTGAAGGCATATACTTATGGACATGTACATGCTTGATTTCCCAAGCATTATTACCATGTTGTATAGCAGTGGCATTATTATATGCTTTCAGGTTATATAGTTTACCAAATTCTACTAAAAATGTTTTCAAGATCTATGCTACTATCTAACCTTCCCTTGGTCTGTATCTGTATATTTGCCTTGGTTTCCTAATCTTTCCATGCTGGTCTGCAGTTGAATAATCAATAATTTATCTGAATCAAATATGATTCCTCTTTGAAGATACTTGGAGAGCATAAAGTCAGGAACAACACAGTCAAGCCTATCAATCACAATATCACATACTCAATTCTCGAGCATAAGAAGATCTACAATAAGTATCCCGATACAAAGAGATGCTGGGATCAGTAGCAACATATGAGCAGAAGAGCAAAAGGAAGATGAGTTTTTATCAATCCATAAGAGAGAGAAAACAAATGAAGCAATGACATTATTGGTCCATGAATTTTGAACCTGTTCTTCGATTCAGGTTGTTGCCCTTCCTGATCAGCAAACAGAGCAATGAGCACCTTTCTCTTCGTCAATTCCAGCCTTCCTGGCTGACAGAAAGCATCTATGTCTCACACAGTTTCAGAAAGCACCACTGTCATGTATTAGACAACCGAATAGTGTGATGGGAGCTGAAGATTCTGAATGCTCGGATGAACAATGAAGTTTAGCCCTCCAAAGAATATGTCAACTTGTCCTCCCTCCTTCCTTGGGAACTACTTTGACCTGTTTATCCTTCTCTTGATGGGGACCCTTCTTGAAACCTGCATCAGTTCTCCTGTAAGGGGAGTAGAGGAAGCAGAAACATCTGGGCACATTCTTCAGTGTGGTTGTCACCATGCTAATTCACAAAGAGAAGAGAGGGTCCAAAGGCAATAAAGACACACACATGTGAGTGTCAGTGTCTCATCATAGGCTGTCTCCTGGTCAAAAGATAGGGAGATGAGGGGCTCAATGTTGGGGTCAATCATAGTTTGGTCAAGTGGCATGGATAATGGTTTAAATTCAAGACTGATGGATCTCTTCCAAATATATTACTTAAGGGATTGGATTTCTTATTTGTGATTATAACTAAGAACATTCCTTCTTAGTTAGAAGAAACGACTGATAGGCTTCCATTGTGCTATGTTAGTGGGAATTGACAGAATGGAGAGAGAAATGGATGCTGACATGATTGCTAACATCTTGAACCAGAAGATGATTCCTCTTGTCCAATTTATAGTGATAAGATAAATGGATGTACCAATCGATTGGATCTTCTATTCTTTTTTTATGTTGATTTCATGAGCATAGGTAGGCTTGCCAAACTTTTAGAGTGAGAAACTCAGGACAAGCATAGCTGCTTTGGCACCCTATATTAAGAACAAGATAGAAATAAGATTCTTGATGTCTAAGGCCACTAGGAGTCAAACAGGGATTGCAGCCAACCAAGACTGGCAACCTGAGGCATGGATATGAGTCAGTGCAGTAAATCCAAGCATTCATCCATCTTCCCATAATTGCTGGAGTTCTTTGTACTTACTTTGCACTGGAAATCTGACACCAATCATGCATCCACTTCAGTGATGAATGATTGATTCTGTGAGCTACTATTGATCTTAGAACCCGTTTGGGATGATTTATACTATGTATTCTTAGGTTCTTACCAATCTAATACCAATGAATTGTACACTTCAAACTCTTTGATTAGTTCTTACATCTGGTTATCTGTTTCAAATCACCATTTTGATGCATAATTAGATAATATATGTGTATATTTCTAAAGTTTTCTACTAAGAACACAAAAAGATTTGTCATAAATGTCAAAAATTGAATAATGAAAGTTTTGCTACTAACATCTATCATGATTCTATCAAAAAAAATTAATCTTAATTATGCTATGAGTCAAACTCATCCTCATTGGCTTACTCGACAGGAAATCATTAAATAGAATCTTTTAATCTATTATCATATTCTTATCACTCGTCATCAAGCAAATATGACCAGGAAAGGAACGAACTTTACCCATTTTACATTGACCGGCTGAACCACCCAGGAAGCATTTCTAGGGTGGCGTGGCTTCTCACGGAGCCCCGTGAGACGAAGCAACAGGTAAACTCTCCAGGCTGATTCAGCCGAGAACGTCGTGCCTTTTTGGATCGGCGCACGTGGCGACGACCGCGAGGCTGCATCCGTGTTTGATACGGACAGCGACACTTGGCTTTATACCGTCGGATTAGAGAATCTCGAGAGATCGATCTGACCGCTGAATCTCAATCGGACGGTGGATACTCCTTGATACAGTGAAGTCACCGTGCATCGCCGCTGCGTCTTCGCATTTAATTGCCGTCCCCTCCCCGTCCGAACGCAAGGGAGTAACGACATTGCCGAGATCTTGGAAGATGGAGAGCGAGGAGAACCGGACGGGGCCGTCATCAGGTCTTCTTCGCGTTGCGTGGATTCTGCTGGTGTGGTTTGGTGCTTATATTTGGTTGATTCGTTTCTTTAGGGAGTGCGAGCCGTGGAGGTGGTAAAGCGTGCTGCCGGTGCGGGTGGGTGTACCCCAACCCGCACCCCAGCAAGAAGCACCGGAAGGCTCACCGGAAGCACTGCGGCGCTGCGGCGTCGAAGCCGCGCGATGATGCTGGCGATGTTGTCGTGGCCGTGCATGCGAACGATGCGGCTTGTGAGCTGCTGGCGGATGCGGACCCGAGGAAAAACTCTGGTGCTCGGTTTGTGGGTTTTGCGTTTCTTGTCGCTTTCTAGCTCTCTTTTTCGGTTTGGTTACTGGGATTGAGTTCATTTGCAGGAGTGGTGGCGGTGGAGGAATCGAAGCCGGAGAGGGACGGCAGAGAACTGTGTAAAGATGCGATCTTGGAGACGGACACTGCTGGTACATGGACTCCATTGTGATGGTCTTTCATTTCTTTAGTCTTTTTCTTCTGGTTAATTACTTCATGAGATCGATGAATGTGTCCTTTGGGCGGAGACTACGGTTTATCTTCACCTAGCATTGACCAAAATGGCAGATTCGCTTCGAAGGGAGCATACACCAAAAGGGCTGGCTGCTTTAATTTTTCTGAGTGATTATTTTTAGTGTTCTGTGGTCGTTCTTCTCTTTTCTTGTTATTATTATTATTTTTCTTTTGTTTTCTCTAAATTCATTGAATGGTGAGGACTACCACTATTAGAATTTCAAATCACAATATTCTTGTTTGATGTGTTAGAAAAATGGGATTGTATGATGAATTGAGTGGTTACTAGTGGTCTTCTATGAATGCTTTACTAGTTGGTATAACAATCAATTTTATGTTCTTGAGGAGCTCTGGTCATCTATGAATTACATTACTAGTGGCTTCCTGTCCAACGAATGTTTCAGTTGACACCACGAAAGTGAAAATTAAAAGGCTACTCACAAAAGTAAATTACAAGAGTGCTCATTCGAGGCTGCTTATTGTTCTTGCTTGTCCTTCCTTATTGCTTGTCATTTTGTTCTTTTGACATTTGGTTTTCGTATGTGGACAGAAAACCCTTCTTGTTATTTTTGGTCATTTTCTTCTGGTGTCTATTAGATATCAGGATTGGACTTATACATGTTGACTTGTTTATCTTCTGCCATGGAGGATGGAATATTTCCACCAAAATCCGTGCGCTCCTTGTTAAATCCATCTTTACCTGCAGATAAGTCTTCCAAGTCATGTGCTTTATGTCATGGCAACAAGGTTCAGAGTTCTGATGTGGAATTCACTGCAAGTCAGCTGGATTGCTTGACTCACTTTCAAAATCATTCAGTCTCATGTGGAGTCGATATGATTTGCACTGCTGATGATACAAAAGGTTCTTCTTACTTCCCTTTAACCAAAGGATCTTCCCTGGATGCTTCAAAGGAGGAAATGGGTTGTGCTACAGTTCAATATGCAGTGGAGAGTGCTACCGTTGCAAATGATAAAAACATTGGAAACCATATAGAGAATAAGTTAGATGCAGACATTCCTAAAGCACTGATCCTACCTCATGATTCTTCCATCAATTTCTCTTCAACTGACTCTGAGTTACAGAATAAAGAAAAATACATGGAGATCAGTGTAACTGTAGATCAAGTAAATACAGTAACCACACTGATGTCTGGTCTTCCACATGAGGTTTCTGAAAATACAATGGAACCTGAACCAATCAACTGCATTGCTCAAGATAGGATGACTGATGTTGCAGGACAAATGTGTCAAGTTCAACTATCTTCCGAGGGTGGACGATGCACTTTGGAAATTAATGCTGGTGAGCCTTTTGAAATTTCTGCTCATTCCTTTGGATGTGAGTATCAACTTGGCAAACCTGCTAACTCTTTGGCAAATGAAAATGAGCTGGAGGATTTGTTTATTTCAGAAGTGGCATCAACCACACTTCTCGTGGAACCTTCTGACATGAAGCCTTGGTCTCCTGAAGATTGTGGGTTGGTGGTGGCTGTTGTCACCACTATTTGTGCAAACTCTCAAGTAGGAAATGAGTTAGGTGAACGCATAATAAATGATGTTCCCAAAGTAGTTCCATCTGAGTTGTTAGTGGTAGAATTTGATAAGAGCGTTGATAATTTTCTTTCAACCTTGCCATTTAACAAAGAATTTTCTCTCCACATAGAAAAACTTAATGCAGTTGAAAACAATGGGTCAATTGATGATCAAGATGACATGTCCCAGTTGGTCAATATATTTGAATGTGAGTTTCAATGTCCTGAGGAAGAAACAGATTGGCTTGGAACACATGAACAAGTTGCAATTGCAGGATCACCGGTAGACCAAGCAATGGTTTTAGATAGTTGTGTTACTAGTTCATGTGAAAGTTTTCATTCATCGTCTGGAATCGAAGCGCAAAAGATAAATTACCTGACTGAAGGGCAGGATATTTACATATCTTATGAAGGATCCTTAGCTGATAGTTTGGGAGATTCGGACTCAGGTCTTGCAGTCTCTGGTGTTATCCAATCTAGTATAGCATTTGAAGTAAGTGATCAGAATCAAAATGTGAGCCAAGAAACAACAGAAGTTAACAATTGTGTTGTGGTAGAGGAGAAAAAACATGAAATGGGTAAGGAAGAAAGTCTTTACATGGACTCAAAAGAATTAAGTTCTTGTCAAGACACAAAATATGATTCTCAGTGTAAATGTTATGCCTCAGAATTGGTGCCTTCACTTGGAGATGATATTGAAAGGATGGAATTGCAAAACCACAAACATGTCGTAAGCACGACAACCGAGGAGATCAGTTCCAGCTACACAGATAGTATTTCCAATTATTACTTGGATGAACCAGATCCCCGAGAAGCTACTGAGGGTAGATTCATACAATTTGCTGCTGGTGATGAAACCAATGATCATCCTGAAAGGCAGGCAGAACCTTGTGTCAATGAAGCTATATTAGAGAATGTATTTCTTGTTGAGCATTATGATAAACTGGATCTCCACAAAGATGAGGTTGACAATGTGCAGACATCTGGTTCTCAGCTTAAACAAAAGAATCTTCTTGTGGTAAGAAGTGTTTATCCTCTGAGCAGTGATGAAAATAACCCAGATAACCCATTTGTTACAGATGTTCAGATCCCTAGCGTTGACAAAGAAAATAGTTTTGCCAATATACATAATGAAGAGCCAAACCCAAATGAACTCAGTGAAGTCGGTTTGTGCCATGATGGAGAAGACCTTAAGACTGAGGAATGCTCCACGTCAGAAGTTGATGTGCAATCCATTGTTGGGAAACCTGATTCTGATTCAAGAACCAGTGATACGTCTGGAGTTCCTTCCAGCAGCTTTTATCATTCTTCAAAAGAAGAAGATATTTATGTTGAATCCATGCAATGTGCTGAATTATGCACTCGAAAAATAGATGACTCAGCTGATTCAAATGACCAAAGAGCCAGCACTGAAGCATCATTGGTCTCTGTTTCTGGTTAGACTTTATAAATCTGATACTATTTCATTTCAGTGATAGGCAGTTCAATCTTGAATTGATTAGACCTCTGTAGTTCACTTATTCTGTTTTACTTGCTATGAAATGTGCATCTAGATGCTCTGGAAAATGAATTTCTTTTTATTTATTATTTTCAAGCCATAAGGTCCCAAATGTTTCGGGATGGTTACATACATGGATTTCTGAGAGCAGTAGACCAATATGTTAAAAATGAAGAACAAAGAATATATGAATGTTCCATCTATTTTCACGTAATAGATGCAACAATCTCCCAGTGATCTTAGGAAAATAGATCTAGATTCGTGGTGCAGCGAAAAATGTAATAGTTGGCACTGGATACATGACATGGGTGTCAATTATCCATGTATCCCAGAAGAATCACCCACAGGATCTTTCAAAAATCAAGGCATGTATTGTCCGGTAGATATAAACATGCTTACAAGTTTGCGAATCACTATAATAAGTGTTTTCATCTAGTTCCTATGTGATCTGATAAATGGGCTAAAGAGCAATACATTTTCTACCCATTTGGGCCTTGTGCCTCTCCTGTCCTAATAATAATTGGAGAGGTGACATGGACTCAACCTGGGACCTACCAGAAATACCCTTCTATGCCTCTCATGATAGGCAAGATAGTTAAGACAACAGGAAATTAAGTTTAGGACTTTTGTTGTGCATATCAAGTATGAGATGTCTAACAAGTTAACAAGGTTATATATGTTGTTTAAAGAACACATTTTGATTGAGCAAACTGTCAAAAAGATCTTTCACTATCAAGAGTCCAAGTCTTTAACATGACAATATAATCTAAAAGTTAATAGTTTCAGATAATACTGGTTGGGACTTAAAGGATAACACTTGGCTGGAGTCACACTCAAACCAGTTGACTGTTCTGACTCATGATTCATTTGACCATTAGGTTTGGCATTTTAAGACCACTGACTCAGATGTTTCAACTTTCAATCACATCAGTTTGTTGTTGCAGTACAAACTATAGGAGAGCATAACTTGATTGAGATGCCTTTTTTAACTATATACTATTCCGTGTATTTTATTCAAGTAAATTCTATTCCTTATATTTTATACCTTTAAAATACTCAGAATTCATCGTTTCTTAAGGGTCTTTTGCCCATTTCAAGAAAAATATTATTTCCACATTTTATGTTGCAGATGGAGCGATTCCATTCCTAAGTTATTCAGCAAAGGGAGAATCCAATTTTGATGGAAAAGCTTCGCCAATTACAGATTCCCAGACCACAAGGGATCTACAAACTTCTGATCCAGCAGCAGGTGCTATTTTCAAAAGCGATGTTGATAGCAGTGATATGGTAGAGGGACCATCTTTGACAATCCTTGTGGAACCTGGTCGACGATCTGAACCTAAAGGAAGAAATGGTAATGAAGAAAATGCTGCCAAGGAGCTGAACTGGAATTCTGGAAAACCATATGTTATGTTGAAGAATCTCCTTGCTGAAGCAGACACTGAGAGTGAACAGAAAGTACCCTTTGGCCGAGGCCACAATGCATCATTGACTTGCAAGAGAAGGAATGGTTTGCATGATGATGGATATTCTCTTAAACCTGCAACATCTAAAGTAGTTTCCGATAAATCTAATGAGCCCTTTGATAATCAAGTAGATCACAGTGAATGGAACTCTCCTGCACGGCTCCCTGTTACCCAGCATGTTAAAAAGAAAGTAAAAGGGAGGCAAGCCTGGGTGCCATTCATTTGTTGTGCATCCATGAACTGAAAACATCTTGTCAGATTGGTGGTGGTTATTGGTTGTTCTCAGGAATGACAGTTCATCTTCTACTTGTGATTGGGACCATGGTCCCCTTGTTAGTCTTCTATGACAATGCGGATATCTTTTGCTTCACATCTTAGAGGATATAAGGTCAAAAAGAAAATATTACAGTTTGTCCTTAAATTTTGGACTTAGATAATGCTGATTTCTTCTTTCCTCTTGTTTTGTAAAATGTTGCTGCTAGTCCTTGCTTTGTCATAATTAGCGTGAAGTTCAACTTTTTTATGCAATAGATGTCAGAGCAAGGCACTCAGTAACTTTTATATGTTGTTGTGATCAAAATAAGTTGTATGTTGTATGGATTTCTTTTCGAGGATCAGATATTCCTCATCTGCCATCTGTGTATTCTTTTGTTGGTTGGTTTGCCTCTCATAGATCTGACATGAGAATATCAATTCTTGAGGTCACTCAACCACGATGAGGAGTATTTATCATGTTTGCCTCTTGTAGAACCAGAACCTGAGACCCCCGCTTTGCCGACATTGAGGATGGGGCTGTCGTCGGGCAGGTTCATCATGGCCTCCCCATTGCCTCCTCACTGGATGAGGGATCGAAGTCATCATTCATGGCAGCGACTTGGCTTAGGGTAGAGGTTGCTCCCAGAGTTGAGAGAGCGTCCGGCCTGTCCTCACCAGGTGCTTGTTAAATTTACCTTTTTTTCATTTTTTTGTGATACATTAGCATTAAATATTATCTGAAGCATGCAGCCAAATGGATTGGCAGCAGGATGGAATTACTTGATACTTAATTTGCAGCAAAGTGAGCATACGGATGGTAGACTGGTTAACTGTGAATAGATATGCATGATAACCATCTGTTCTGTCACAAGAACTTTGTGCTGGGTAAGTGCTACTCAAAACATTACTCCATTTTCGATTTGACAAAGCCTTTTTATGTATTATGGTAGCCTATAAATTGGTAGCGGCCTTTCTTTGAAGAATTATTTCAGTTTGACTGTATTGCTTGAGATCTGAAAAAGGGTATATATATATATACACAAAACAGAAAAATTGTTGTTGTGAAATAGGCTAAGTAGGGTCAGTTGTTAGCATGCCATGCTACTTCATGTTAACAGTGCTTTTCCTTTGACTTCTCAAAGGAAAAGTGATTTAATTTGATGGTGGGAACTGTTGCATAAGATTAAAGTGAAAATTAATGCTGGCTACATTAGTGAATTTTTTATAAAACTAAGAGTGAGAAAAAAAAAGGGCAGTGCAAGGTTACAATCTAGCTTTTGCAATGCTAAAAGGTAGGAAGGTGGTTACAACTTGGTTCTGATTACAGAAATACTACTGATGGTACAGAATAGGGAAGTAGAGAGAAAAAGAAGTGTGAGATAAGAAAGATAAGAAAAATAAGTACAAGACTAAAGAAGATATAATTTTTATTTAAATTTAAAATAATTTATTAATTGAGAAGCTTCATTATTTATAGAGGTTTGGGACCCACAATATAATTAATGAAGGTAATGATTCTCAAGAGTAATCTCCTAGGAAATTAATATGATTTTAGAAAACTAAAATATGATTTTTAGAATACCTAAATAGTAAATGAGTATACTTAATACATAAGAGTGTATTTAATACAAAAGGAGTTTCTAGGTTAGTACTAAGAAAGATCATAAAACTTTTTAATTTTCAACAACTCTTAGAATTTTTAGGCCAACTAATTGATGACTTTTTATTGATTACTTTGCCTAGTATAATTTTTTTAAAATCCTTTGTAAAGCTAGATGATTCTTTATCATTCACCACCGGTGGAAAAAAACTTAACCTTGGAGAGTGATCTACAAGGTACTTGTCTAATAAGTCTGATGTAAAGTCACAAAGTTCCTCTAAAGTAATCCAAGTGACATCGAAAGCTAAACGATCATGCCAATTGATAAAAAAGTGTTGATTGATGCTAATAGCATACGTAATAAGGTGATCATCAAGAATGGCCTTTACCTATCTCTGTGTTGTGGAAGAATCAATGCTTTGGGAGAATTGTCACCTATAGAAGATCGGTAGATAAAGGAGGCTCAAAAATACCATAATATAGAATTAAATCCTCCATATTAAAAACTAGACTAATATTTAAGTCAAAAAGCAAATCAAACATATATGCATTATATTTCATGTTTTGGATAATGGGGAAAGGACCAATGACTCAAGCATGTAATTTCTTGAATAATTTTTTTAGGAAATCTCTCAGGGTGAATGTGAAATAAGACATAATCGTCAACTTGAAAACTCTTGACTTCTACGATGTGCATTAGTAGCAAGCTTATAACTTTCATTACATATGACAATTTTACATCGAATCTTAACATACAAATCATAAATATGTTGAGCAAAAGAGTGGATCGGTTCTAAGGTACGATAGTCAAGTGGAAGGAATATAGGTAAATGGATGTGTGAGGAGTATAGCCAAGGACAATTTCAAATAGTCTTTTTTTCGATCAAGCGATTAATTGAGTTATTGTATGTAAACTCTACAACATGTAAGGTTAAATCTCAGTTTTCTAGTTTCTCCCCAACTAAACATCTAAGAATCTTTCTCAATGAATGATTATAGTTCAACCATCAGTCTGGGAATGAAAGGTTGAAGAGAACTTCAATGTTATACCAAATAATTTTTACAATGTTTTTCAAAAATAGCTAAAAAATTTCATATTCCTATCGGACATCATAGTTGAGGGCAAGCAATGTAATTTAACCATTACTCATAAGAACAATTTAGCAATTTACGAGACATTGTTGGTCTTGTTATATAGGATAAGGTGGGTTATTTTTGAAAATCAATCAACAACAATCAAAATAGAGTCATGGCCATGACTGGTTTGGGAAGTCCAAAGACAAATCTAAACTCACATCTTGCCATGATGAATATGGAATAAGTAATGGGATATATAGGCCAATATAGTATATGTGAGTTTTGGCAAATTGACAAGTACAACACTACAACACTACTCGAGCAACATCTTGCTTTAAGGATGACCAGTAAAATCTATCATCGACTAATGCAATGGTATTGTCTTGATCTAGGTGACCTACTAATCCACCTACGTGCGTTTTCCAAATAAGAAAGTCTCGAAAGGAGGATCGAAAAACACATAATTTAGTAGATCGAAAAAGGTAACCATCCCGAAGAATGAAGTCCATATTTTCACGATAGTTTTCATCTTGGACTTCCTGATATAAAACTATATTGTTCTCATCAGCTGCCTTATAAAATTATGAATTTGACAAAAGATGGTCTGAAGGGTAAAATTAGCACCTTTCTTGCATTTGGAAGTAGGCACAGATCATGGTTCCTGCTACTGATAGCAAAGACTACAACTGGAAGTAATTATGGGTGTCCAACTGCATACCTATTCTCTGCTTCTTGTGGGTGCTAAATGGAACCCTTAGACAATGTGCTCTGATTTAGAGGCAAAAGTAACATGGAATGCAAGAAACCTTTGTTCTGATATTGATGCAAGGGATTAGAAGGCATATCTAGTAAGCAACTCCATACAAGCTCCAAGGATTCCTTGTTGCATTCCATGGTTAGTGTCATAAGGATCAAGAAATAGCCAATCTCTATACATTCTTTCCATTCAATGTCTTATTTACTTCACTATTGGTTATATAAGAAAGTGATTCCTGTCCAGGATATCTTTTTTCTCCATTCTTCTTAAAAAGAACAGCATCTCATTCATTCATGAGTTGTGAAAACTAGGTAGAACCTGTCTAATATTGCTCCATAAGCTCTGTTTTTTACTTAATATTCCATCCAATAGAAAGTTGTCACAGACTGGCTGTCTGTTCTTTCAAAGATTTCAAGAGTTGGGTTATCACACACCATTTTAGCTTTCAGGTGGGTGTCCCAGAGGGTGTTTGATCATGCATGTCTGAGATGCACTTTTTGTTCACAATTAAGAGCTCAATTCTAGTTCAAACAGAAGAGAGGGGAAGGGAGGGGTGGTGAGGTGTTTCTCTTCTGATATTTAGGTAAATTCTTACTGTAGAAAGAAAATGACACAACTATATCAATGTTTCCTTCTTGTCTACTGCTTGGTTCCACCACCCTCTCCCTTTCCAAATGATTCTTATCCCTACTCCTTTAATAATTGGTGAGACAATGCACACACCACAGAGCAATAGATTGTTGCTGAACTATTGCATTATTGGGACGTGAGAGCATCTTCACCTACAGAGCAGCAAATGGCATCTCTGCAGCTTGAGAGGGAACAAAGGAATACACAGCACTACCTGAAAGAGGTGAAGAATTTAGAGGTCCTCCTAAAGGTTAAACGAAGCCAAGGGCTTCTGGTTGTTGGATCTTGACCTGATGCATCTGGCCATGAATTTAGTATTAGTAATACCTTATTTCTAAGAGGAGGATTCATTCACTGTTAGTTGGCATTTGGTTTCATTCAAAGATGAAGGGCGTATTCTATTATATCCTGTCTGTTCTCAATCAATCTTAAGGTCACCATTTTGGAGGTTGGTGAACATGAGAAGATTAATACATGGTTTTTAGTCTTTAATCTTGTGAATCATGGAGCAGTTCTGTATTGCAAAAAGGTCAGATATGTGGAAGTAGGTGCTGCTGACAACCCTAAATAGAGAGCTGTAATGACCTACCAAAAGTCAGAAAAATACCTCCTCTATTATTTATTCCATAGTAATGTTTTGGGGTGATCCAATAATGAATGATGAACATTCAGAAGTATATCACTCTACAAAGATCAATGAGAGATATGAAATACCAAATGACTTCAGAACAAGTTATTGTCATTGTTATTCTTATTAGCAGATGATGATTCCTCAAAAATTTTGCTGCAACTCAAGATATGTTTTTGGTACTTGGTAATGTAAGACAACATTTTTAAATTTGTATAAGCCAGAACACTTTTTTCCCTGCATAAAAGAAATTCCATGCTGAGCAGATTGCTGTTAAATTCATGTTCACTGAATTGGACATCCACATTTGTATGGAAAAGAGCCAAAACAAACAGTCTATGAGACACTGACAGCAGAGTGATTTGAAGCAGAGAAATGAAGATGTACTGTTCTGAATTCTGATTAGGTTCATCTTCAGACTATTGATTGTTAATTCTAAAATTTAGAACATTAATAAATAGTGCCCTTCAAAGCTCAATTAAAGAATTCAAACTTGGTACTGAAATGTGTCTTGGAGTAGTTTAGCCAAAATAAGAATATGTGAAAACCTATACTTGTTGACAGCTCCAGGAAGAAGCACTGCAACACCAACAAACTGTTACTATTCAATCACATTAGCTTGCTTCCTGTGAAGATGACAAAGTCAGGGAAACTACTGCTTGTGAAGATAACACAGTGAAGTCAGTGGACATTGCTATTGGAACTGCTTTTAATCTGTAACTGCTAACAAGAACTGGGATTACCAGAATTGCCTAGGAATAAATGCAATGATTAACTTGTGGAAGCCAATTGTTTCTATTAGTTTGAGTTTAAAATCATCAAATAGAAGCCTAGCATGAATAATGTATCTTAATCATTATTGACTTCTCTCACCATCTCTTATATATTTCTCCATCAATGACTGCAGGCTAGGATACAAGCATATGAAACTCAGAGTGAGGTATGAGATTCTTGTTCTTTTTTCAGAAGAATAAATTCATTGTTCACAGATCTTTTGGAAGTGAAGAATCTTCTCTTTTCAAAGAACTGGAAAGTACAACATTGGGATTTTTTACCCTGTTCTTCAGCAAATGAGACATCTTCTTTGAATGATGAGATTATAATTCAGATTGGGAATATCAAATTAGTTATTGAAAATAAAGAAAAAGAAAAGTCAAGAAAAGCTGTATCTGCTGTTGCTTTAAACAACTCTCAGAGTGGTAACTATAAGGTGGCAGTGTCACAAAGAAATGGTGGTAATCTGAAATCACTGGATATTAATAAGGATTAGGAGGAATAAGTGTACTAATGTAGGACCTGGGGAGAGGAATAGAAGATGGAGGGAGGACTTGTGGAAGCCCACCTTGCAAATGAATCCAAATGCAGATTTGTATATGGCCAACATACATGTGACTGTCAGCAGCAATCCCAAAGCTCTGCAAATATAACAGGTAGATACAACCACTTCACCTTCTCAAAGTAGTTTACTATTTGTATCAGCTAAACTATGTCTTCTCTCTCTGAACTCAGGCAAGTTCAGAACCCAAGCAAGAGAGAGAGAGAGGTCAATGCAATCCACCAAGGTAAAAATCTCTGCACTCATCCTCATTGTCTTCTCTAATACTCCCCATTCCATTTTAACATCATGAAACCTTAGGAGGAAGATTTCTTCTCACTAGAATGTGCATCATGTCCAAGATAATACTCATACCTCATAGGGCTCTATGGATATTTTGCTTAAATTGTCATGGGAAACAGTATAGGAAGAAACAACATCCATGGACAAAGTGTACATAAACAAGTAGATAAATTGGTTATACAGTCATAACTCTAGCCATATTCAGAGCCTCAGAAAAGGCCTAGGCCTGAGAGAGAGAGAGAGAGAGTCCTTGGTTTCTTCCATCTCCCCAGTCACTGTTGGTTTCACTTTCACCTCATCAGCAGTACAAAACTGCAAGTGATCAAGAACTTCCCCTTCCCACCTCATCTCTTTCACCACAACCATTTCAGCTTTCATCTCCTCCCAAAACTCCTCCTTTGTCTCTGTATCCTTCATCTTTAAGGGCACAAAACCTGAGGTGATGGCCACAAGGATTTCAGAGACACAGGGAACACGGTTCCATTTAAGATTGATGGTTTGGCATCTGTGAGGCCACCCATATGCGACCTCACTTAAAAGGTCACCATTTCTTTCTTTCTTCTTGCTTTCCCTTCTGTCCTCCACCTCCCATTCCTCTGTTTAAAAGCCTCTCTTTTCCTCTGCTTTCCAAACTCTATCATCTCCCTTTCCTTCCGCTTCACTCCCTCTGCTTTCCTCTTTCCACTCTCCCTCGATGCTCCCTCCTTTTGCCTTGTCGAGTTCGGTGCTCCTTTTTGCCTTTGAGTGCTCATCTTTAGCAAAGCTGAGATCTTTAACTGCCTCTCGCAACTATCAGTTGTGGAGAGGCAGCCTCTCGCCGGTGATCAGTCACCTTTGCATGTGAATTCAGCGTTCTTTCTTGCTTTCTAGTGCTCTCATCAGCAAAAAGGTCTTCTTTCGGAGAAGGAAGAACCGAACCTCGCCGGAGATGTATTGCGGGCTGCCGGATCAGCTGCCGTCATGCCTCCTCGACCTGAACTGGGACCAGACGATGGACACGGCGGGCCATTTTGAGTCGGTGCTGAGCTCCATTGCCCCGCCGTCGCAGTCGTCCGGCTCCCCCGCCTCCGCAGATGGCGTGGCCTTCCATAAGCTCATGGGAGGATCGCAGAGCATCGGCAACTCCTCCGATGGGACGTGGCCGCGGTCGCATCACATTGGTGTTCGTCTTAATTCCCCTCCGAAACCCAATCTGTCCGTGTTGGGTCATATCCGCCACCTGCAGCAGGAGGCCACGGGAGGAGTAGCCGTGTCGACTCAGTTGGATCAATTCTACAGCTTTGGTGGCCGGAATTATGGTCATCTCGCACCTCAGTTTGGGCTTCTGGATACTCTGCAAATGGAGCTGCCACTGCGATTGAATGCAAACAATGGTGAATTGATGAATGCGAGGGAGGAATCTTCTTTGTCTGATCCGACCACCAGAGGAGTAAGCTCAGGAGGTGCTGCCAGGAGCAATTCAAAGAAACGGAAGGCTCCTCCGACGGACAAAGTGAAGGGTGATGCTATCTTGGCTAATTCTGCCATAGATCCTCCCAAGGTAAAGAAAACTATTCTTAATGGACCCAAATCGGCTTCTCATTATATGGTAAACCGACAAACAAAGATCTAATTTGTAAAGATGCAGGTGGCAAAGGAAGAGGATTCTGATGCCAAGAGATGCCGTTCCATGGTGAAGAACAGGGATGAAAACGATGCAGTTAAACCGAAGGCAGAGCAGAACGATGGTTGCAGCAGCAACGGAAATGGTGGTCAGAAACAATGCAGGGAGAATACTGCCAAGTCCACTGAGCCTCCAAAGGACTACATCCATGTCCGGGCAAGAAGAGGCCAGGCAACAGATAGCCACAGCCTTGCTGAGAGGGTATGAAGTGACCACCATAATGATCCTTCATCGTGTAAGTGTTTTGTGCATGTTCTTCATGGATGCTTTCTCTCTTGCTGCTAGGTGAGAAGAGAGAAAATAAGCCAGAGAATGAAGCTACTGCAAGATCTAGTCCCGGGCTGCAATAAGGTATCAAATAGCAATGAATTTGGAAGATTTTTTTTTTTCTAAATAAATATAGAAGAGTTGCTTTCATAAAAAGTTGGATTTTTTTGGAATAATTTTTCAAATTCTGATGAAATGTTAAGATTATGAAGACTTTAGTTTCAATTTGAAATGTGTAGGTGACAGGAAAGGCAGTCATGCTTGATGAGATTATCATCTACGTGCAGTCGTTGCAGCGCCAAGTTGAGGTATCATCATTATTATTATGGAAAAAAATTAACATTTTGTGATGGAGAATCCTTTATAGAGTTCGTGTGTCGCATCTAAATTCTCTTCTATTTCCATGTCTTGTAGTTTCTTTCTATGAAGCTGGCCACTGTCAATCCACATCTTGACTTCAACAATTTGTCAAACCTCCTTCCAAAGGATGTAAGATAAATTTTCTTCTCCGATTGTTCGTTAGTCGTTAGATTACTATCTCTAATATTTTTAGTCAATAATTCAGGTGCATCAAACTTGTGGGGCTATGCCAAACTCTGTTTACTCATTAGAGGCCTCAGGAGTGGCACCGCCATATATAAACCAACCCTCTCTTCATTGTGTCTTGCCTGATGGCATGGAGATCCATAGGTCAGCAGACCTGCTAGGCTCAACTTTACATCAAAATGTCAACACACACCAGCCTTTACTTGCTGGATTTGAGAATTCACCTTCTCAGGTAAAATGTTCCACCGAATTCTCAAATGCAATGGTGAATTGTTAAGTTCTGAGAGCATGCTGTTTTGACATGAGAAGCTTGCTGAATTTTCAGCTGGGAAATTTCTGGGAGGATGGCCTCCAAAATGTTAGTCAGATGGACATAGGACACGACTAGTAGATTGCCTCTCTTTCTATCGGAGCTTTGTTTGGTAAGTCATCGCACAAGGCCACTCTGCTACTGTCAACTGCATGGATACCTCGGAAAGTAGTGAATAAAATGTATTTGATGCAGGCCCTCTGCCAAAACAGCTCATATGAAGATTTAGCTGTGAATCATCTGAGTTCATTAATGGCACCCTGGTGCATTTGTATATAGCGACGCTCGAGGAGAACCGTGCAGAAGACCTTGAGCTAACAGTGTTCAGATCTGAGCAGATTGCCATTAGTCTCCTGATTAATTCTTTGGAGGTTTGTCGGTGTCTCTTGTATGATCTTCATACTTGTGTAGCTTTCCTTAATGCTTCGAACATTATTGTGATGTGAGATAATGAGCACGACAGATTTGACATCATGATTTTGCTCCGCTATTGTAAGAACTAATTTTCATCATTTTTCAATATGTGTTCTATCACGAACGAAACATCCGATTCTGGTGAAAGTGTTTGCAGAATATTTGCTGAACAGGATCATACATCCCAAGATGTATCATTTGCATTTTGCAGATGATAATATATTGAATTTGTGACACTATGAATCTGAAGTCTGCTACAACAGACTTCTATCAAACTCCTCCTTTTGCTTGCAAGTTGAAGTTGTGGGAATCATCACCAAAGCAAAATGCTTGTCATCCTATCAAGAACTTCACTTGAGGTCTGTCACAGTAGGGTCTATCTTTTGATTTTTTCTGAGGAAAACTGCAACAGCAATCCTCAAGAACAACACATTCGAAAGTCCATCAGGTCCTGTGTTTTGGAATCATGTGCTTTATACCTTTACCAGAATTGGGAGCCATTCAGTGTAAGAGCATCTTCTCTGAGTACAAGCTGCTGTTACAAATCCAAGTATGATCTGACAGGGATATCTCAAGGTTACCTCAGAGACAGTCACAAGGAACCCTTGGGTTGTCTGTAAGCATCTAAAGAAAGAGCAAACATGGAAGATATCATTCTCCTATGCTGCCCCTTGATTTAGGCCACCAACACCTATCACCTCCTTTTCCCCATCTCCATTCTGTTCTTTTCTTCCTCAATGGAAGTGTGGAAGTGCAAGTGCAAGTCCCTCATCAGCAAAGAGACACAAAATGTCAAGATACAAACTGATGTCCTCAGCTGCACAGAATCAATCCCAAGCTATACTCTCTCCATCCCTATCCATGCCAAAATTTGCAAGCTTTCAGAGTGTTTGAGACTATTTGCTTGTGACTATACTATGATGGATAATTAGTTTTAGCAATCGAGATCAAAACTGATCATTGACAGTGAGTACACAAGTTGTAGGAGCACTGATGCTAGACACAGTCATAATCTCTATCTGAATCCATGGTCCATGATTGCCATGATGAGTGCCTCTCTTAAAGTTGAGTCCTTTTATAGTTGTCCTAAATTGAATGTTAGGTGAGCTTTCTACATTACCAGAAGCGTGGGACATGGCCTGTGATCCACTTGCAGCTTTGCCTCCCCTCTCTTGATACAAAGCAGCAAGAAGGACCATGTCCTACAGTGTTACACCTCCGATGCGGTGTGCCTGATACCAAACCTCAAAACACAACTGGCTTAGGCCATCTTTGTCGTCTCCGGTGGCCTTCTCCATCCTCTTTCCCATCAACATTCAATTCGCTAGCCTGCTCCTAACCGATCTGAGAAGTGAACTCCTCCGTTTCTTCAGCCCCAGTGCTCTGAGCATGATGAACTGATCGCAACAGGAGGAGAGAAATTACCACAGGCATACAGAAACTAAGACACTTGTAGCGTGTTAATTGGTCAAAACAAGATCTTGATGGAAGCTGTAGATCATAAGCCAGAATGAAAGAAAACTGTGTGGATCAACAGCTTAGCAGATTACTGACAGTGTCCACTGTCTTGAAGGGAAAAGAGTGGATGGATTATTAGCCCATGGGTAGCTTCTCCTTGGCTTGATTGGATTGTACAACAGCATGTCCTGATATCATCCTCTGATAGCATCTGATTATAAATGTCGCTCTTATGCCACATTATCGTCAACCCAACACTTATAATCAGATGCATCTGATTATAAATGTCGCACCAAGTATCGATGGCCAAGTAGTTGTACAACCACAAGTGGACTTTCCTATACACGTTGACCAACCAAAATCTACATACATTGACGTCGTCTGCGTTTGCTTTCGTTCATCTTGGCTGATCTAACTTGATTTCATTGTTGTATCAGAGGAAAATGCAAGATGACGCGAGAACAAAACTCTCTTTTGGTTTCACAGAGATCCACTTGAGATTAAGCAGTACGAACACCATAAGATGAGGGAGCACACCGTTCCATTACACGCGTTCGATCGGCTGCTATCTCCTCGGACGCCGTCGGATGTCTGCCATGGGAGACGTACCACTTCGGCACGAACTACGCTTGGTTATTCCCTGCACCCAGCAACGCCAGGGTCATCAGTTCCAGAACACAATGCAGAACTCGGCTCACCCACTGAAGCTGCATCTCGATGACGATGATGATGCTGATGAGCGACAGAACACAGCATCCACGACAACACGACCTGCACAGCATGTACGTATCCCTGTACAGTGTAGAGGAGGGATCGAGGGTGGCTTCAAGTCGCGACATCTCCGCCGTGTCGTCTCTCCTCCCACACGCGCCCGCCCCCGCCCCCGCCCCCGCCCCCGCCGCTCCACCAAGAGTCAACCGCCTCCCCGTGGCGTCCGCACGCGCGTTCGTGTCTCCGCGTGGCTCCTGATCATGCGGACGAGCCACCGAATCCCAAGGCATATGCCGCCACATGGCATCTTCACGCCATCCCCCACCCCGCACTACCCAAAGGGATATCCTCTCGTAAATATAAATATATATATATATATATATATAATGCATAATATTTTATCTTCTTGTCTTCAGGAATGGATATGAATGTAATGGGGGCAATGAAACTCCACTGGAATATTCCCGCTGTAAAAACCGTGCCAAAGGAATTGGCAACGTTTCGTCCACGCTGACATCGGTTACCCGTTGAATTAACCTGTCTGTGATTGAGAAGGAGAAACGGGCTCAGGTGGGTCCCTTCCATTGACCCGTCGAACCCACCACCTCCATTTCCCTCTCCGACTCCCTATATATCGGCCACCTGTCTCCGGTCTCTCTCCCTTCCGACTTCACACCTGTAGCCTCTTCCTTCCACTGCATTTTCCGGTAAAGGATAGAGAGGTGGAAGCTGGCGGAGAGATATTTACCGGAAGATGGCGGTCCGCATCTGGGCGAAGCGTGTCAGCGTACAGCTCGATGACGAGGCGAGGGCGCGCCTCCGCGGCGACGACGCACGGGGCGTCGCGGGCTACGCCAGCAGCGGCAGCGACCACGGGACCACCACCTGCCTCTCTGGCCTCGTTCATGCCTTCCTCGAGACCGGGGGCGGCGATAGCACCTCCTCCGCCGCTGCCGACTACGGAGGTGGCGGGGAATCCGACCATGACGAGAACCTCGAGGACCTCGATGTCGCCGAGGACCGGGATCGTGCCGCTTCGGAGACTGTTCGGGAGCTGATGAGCTCGACGGCCGAGAAGGACTCGTTTCGCACTCGGCTGGCGACTGACGTCTCCAAGGCGGCGGAGGGTGTCGCCTGGCTGAGGTCGAGCTGCGGGGCCGCAGCCTCCAGGCGGGCGGTGATGGCGCGGCTGAGGACCGCGGGGTACAATGCCGGGATCTGCAAGGCGAGGTGGAACGCCTCCGGGGGGCTGGCGGCGGGGAATTACGAGTACATCGACGTGGTGGCGGCGCCGGGGGACGGGGACGGCCAGGGCAGGAGGTACATCGTGGATCTGGATTTCGCGGCGGAGTTCGAGGTGGCGAGGCCGACGGAGGCGTACAAGGGCGTGGTGGCGTGCCTGCCGCGGGCGGCGGTGGCAGGGGAGGAGGCGGTCAGGCAGGTGGTACGGGCGGTGGCGGACGCGGCGCGGAGGTCGCTGCGAGCACGCGGCCTACACGTCCCGCCGTGGCGGAAGAGCCGCTACATGCTCGCCAAGTGGCTCGGGCCCTACCGGCGGACCACCAACCCGGTGCCGACCTCTCTCACCGCCACCGCACCGGGCGGCGACGTCAAGTGCCGTGCGGTAGGCTTCCCCACGGCGGGCCCACCCGCCTGAACCCGTTAAGAGGAAATCGACGGCCGCGGCGAATAGTAGTAACAAGCTTTTTTTCTTCCTCTCGTCGTCTTTTTGGCGTGTATACGCGGCGACCGACTAACGGGGTAACGTGGCATGACGTGTTTGAATGTCGTCTCGTGGTTGGACACCCCGCGGTGGGTCCCGAGAAGACGTATTTCTTTCCTCTGTGTGGATAATATAGATAATGTCTTGTCGAGCTACGGATGTCGTATTTTCCACTTCTTTTTTCCATTATTATGTTTATTTTATTGCAATGAGATATTGCGAATCACTGCGACTAAAATACACTCTCTAAAACCAAAAAAAAAAATGACAAGGACGAAGCGTGCGGCGAGAAGATAAGCACGAAGCCGACATCACACCATCGCGGCCGTTAATTTCTAATTCGATGGCCAACGATCCGCCAAAAGCCAGCAAAGTCTTCGTCAGGTAGACGTTATCCTAATTCTCGAGGCGGGTCCCGTGTGTACCACAGTGATCTGAGCCGTCCATCGGGCAGATGCTGCATGAGTACATGGCCAACATCTCATCATTCAAATTTTGGCATTATCGTTGCATCATGCATTTGTTTGACCAGGCGTTGACACAGCGAGTTAAACAGGCACGCCTATCGACCGCAGCTGTCATCTTCCATTCCGAGCCACGCTTTGAGATATCAGCCATGTGAGGAGCAGGAAGAGGATGGTGGAGGGAGCATATTCTAGAGGATACAACCCTCTTCTAGATTACTGATTCAGACATACAAATAGAAAACATTACCTTCTTCTCGCGATCGACTCGAGAGCATAATTCTAAGCTGGCAGTGCTCTTAAAGTAATCCCAAGAGATCAGGTTATTTATTGGTTGCCCCGGTGACTTCTCGTCGTAGATATGGCCACGGACAAGACAGCCGAGTTGTTATCCTTTTGCTGCTTGTGGTTTCTGCTGTGCCCTTTGGACCGCCATGAGGCCAGAGAATAGAGAAGGACAAGACTTGATTGTGGGATACTGCTGTTGACAAGATGACATGACCTTCGTATGGCTTCTCATATGTGAAAGGAGCAGTGCAACTTGGATTAATATCCACCATTGTGAGTGCACACTTGAACCTTCTACATATGCTGTTTGTTTGCTCGAGCTGGCATTACGTACAGTTAATGGCGACTGATGCATCTAGACAAAGCGTAAAGGATAGAATTATGGTGATGTGAAGGTCGAAACGATTAAGAACGAACTAAGGCACGTATACGTATATGCTTCACCATTTGAGATGATATAGTTGTTTGGTAGACGTGAGAACACCGATCCTAACCCACTGCAGTTGCAACAATTGACTAAGCCTTGGAGTCAAAACCACATAATTAACTTCTTAATCCACTAGTCTTGCTCGTTCATTAACACCAAACATAATGCCACAATCATAACAGTCAAGCATAGCACTTAATCCACACCCATCAAAATGTAAGTACACACTGCCACATATTGTCTATATATATATATATATGCCATCTCTCAGTCTCTGTTGCTGCTTACTTTGACCGTTGACTCCACACTCAAGCTCAACTCCGAGGATACGTGATTTACACGGAAGCAGCGGGGGTCTCCACTTCGACCTTGGTTTCCTCAACTGCAGTAGGCGCCGCCTCTTCTTCTTCGACGGCGGCTTCAGCTTCAGGAGACTCCACTGTCTCCTCAGTAGCTGGAGCTGTGGTTTCTTCTGGAGTTGCATCAGGTGCTGCCAGTTCTGTGTCTGGCTTGGTTTCCTCTGTGACCTCCTCGGCAACTACGACTTCTTCTGCTTTCTCCTCTTCTGCAGGTTTCTCCTCGGATTCCACCACTTCGATGGCGGGTTGGGCTGCTTCCACTTCTACTTTGGCTTCATCAGCAACGGCAGCTGGGGTCTCTTCCTTGACCACCACCTCCTCTACGTCATGGGCAGGAGCTTCCTGTTCTGCGGGGACTGTTTCCACCTGCATGAGTATTGGACCACTTTATTGCAGATAGAGATGAACGTATGTGATTCATGCACACGTACGAACACTGCTACCCACTCTTACAGGTATTTCACTGGTGTTACATGGCAATTCCATCATATATAGGCCCACACGGACAAGCCATTGTACGGCATAGTTTAATGGTTTGATAGAGAGACATGTTAACAAAGATGAATTAAGTAGATTGCCCTTATAACCATCCATTTCATGCGTTTTTGGAAGCCAACAGAATGACAGAACTCCATATTCAAATCATCTCAGGAAGTAAACATCCGCAATCTTCAGCCATCTGTCAGCTTACAGCCATGGCTTCTGAGGAAAACTTCCTCAACTTCATGAAAGTAGAAAGAGTATTTCTCAGCAAAACTAGCACAAGTTACTCACCTCGACAGCAGCCATTACCTAAAACAAAGGAAAACTTGGTATGAAAGCTGTGGAAACGAGGGAGATGGAGCGGGGAGAGACGAAAGCAAAGCAGTGTTAGATGTGATAAAAGAGCTGTGTTAGAAGGGGTAGTATTTATATGTATCGAAGCCAATGGGCTCTGTGACCAGCAAACAAATGCTGAGTTGCCGATTGCTGCCTTCCTTCTTCAGTTTCTAAGCGTTATTATTAGAAACGACGACCAAATATCGCATCAGCAAAGAAAAAGAAAAGCTTTCCGCCATCATTTGCTTAATTTACAACCTACTCTTGTCCATCTTTCCACGTGGCGAGCATCCAACGGCTGGATTCCGAGGCCTGGGACCCGACCCGGCGTCTCAGCAAAGGAAAGAAGGGGCCCGCGGCCGGGCTGGGCGGTAGAAACGGGCCCCACCTGGCGTAAAGGCGGACTCGGATGGAGACGTGGCCAAGGGAGTCACGTGACCGGTGGAGCCCTGACGCGGTGCGTTGTTCCCCCGTTCGATCGGCCTGCGTCGCTACGTGGCATTATCACGATGCAAAGTCGCACGTGGCGGCGTTAGGTCACGTACACAGTGGACCCTAGTCGTCTGTGTCATGGATGACGTCAAAATGAGGTGGAGCTTCTTCGTCCATCCGTTTCCGTCTTAATTCCAAAACAACAATATATATATATATATATATATATATATAT